TTTAATACTCCATTTGGAAGGTATATTTATAAACGATTACCGTTTGGAATAGCTTCTGCTCCGGAAGTATTTCAGAGTATTATGTCGAATATGTTTTCAGATATAGAAGGAGTCGAAGTTATCGTGGACGATTTGGTGGTCTGGGGAGAAGACGTGACGAAACATGACGAACGACTTCGTTTGGTCTTAGAACGCTGTCGAGATAAAAACCTTAAGTTGAATCCAGAGAAGTGTCGATTTCGTGTCCCCGAAGTAAGTTGTTGGCCATGTTTTGAGTTCAGATGGACTGAAACCAGACCCCCGGAAAATTGAAGTGATTAAGGAGATGCCGCAGCCTACAAATTGCGAAGAGTTGAAGAGATTTTTGGGCATTGTTATGTATGTTGCCAAGTTCATTCCAAATATGGCACAGATAACAGCTCCACTACGTCAGTTGCTGGAGAAAAATGTCGAATGGGTTTGGGATCAAGAGCAAAGACAAGCGTTTACAACTTTAAAGGCAGCGATTGTCGATCCACCAGTCCTCAAATTCTTTGATCAGAAACAATCCGTGTGCTTGTCGGTTGATGCCAGCTCGAAAGGTATGGGTGCAGTGCTTCTTCAAAATGATCGTCCAGTAGCGTATGCGTCGAAAGCGTTAACTTCATGTCAGCAGAACTACTCACAGATTGAAAAAGAAATGCTTGCAATAGTTTATGGTTGTGAGCATTTCCATCAATACCTATACGGGCAACGCGAAGTAATCGTGGAAAGTGACCATAAACCGTTAGAAGCAATACTAAAGAAATCCATCCATCAAGCTCCGCTTAGATTGCAGAGAATGATACTTAGACTTAAACCTTATGCGATTAAAGTGAAATATACGCCTGGGAGTCAGTTGTTGATAGCAGATGCTCTTTCTAGATCACAGATGTCTGCACAGATAAACGATCCATCAGATGAATTTGAAGTCAATGTTCTGGAATGGGGTCAGATGTCTGAGACTATGTTTGAGAAGTTGGTTGAGGAGACTAAGAAGGATGCTGAACTTCAGCAGTTGCACAGAGTAGTCATGGATGGTTGGCCACCGACAAAGCCTGAAACGCCCTTAGAAATTCGACCTTATTGGAGTTACAGAGATGAAATAAGCGGTTATGATGGCTTGATGTTTAAAGGAGATCGTGTAATTGTTCCACATGTTCTTAGACCAGAAATGCTGGATCGGATACATGCAGCTCATTTGGGAATCGAGAAGTGTAAAGCACGGGCGAGAGGTTCAGTGTTCTGGCCTGGAATGAATAGTGCAATTGATGAAATGGTGTCAGAATGCAGAACATGTTTACAATTTCAGCGAAGGAATCAGAGGGAGCCGTTGATGCCGCAGGAAATTCCAGAGAGGCCGTGGTCAACCGTTGCAGCGGACATATTTTATTATAAAGGAAGAGACTATTTATTGGTAGTCGATTATTTCTCGAAGTATCCTGAAGTAACAAGGATAAATCACAAGAATAGTGAAGCCGTCATCTTGGCAATGAAAGAAATGTTTGCCCGTCATGGCATTCCAGAAAAAATTATAGCTGATAATATGCCTTTCAACAGCCTTAGATGTAGAGACTTTGCTAGAGAGTGGGAAATTGAGGTGGTGACAAGCAGCCTACACTATCCGCGTTCAAATGGGCTCGTGGAAAGAAACGTTCAGACAATTAAGCGTCTGTTGAAAAAATCAAATGATTCGAAACAAGATGCATTTTTAGCCTTGTTGGAGTTCCGTAATTCTCCAATTAGTGGTATGGAACAATCGCCTGCAGAACTGTTGATGAGTAGAAAATTGAGAGCTAAGTTACCAATTCCTAAGCATCTTCTTAAACCTAAGTCACAGCCAATCAACGATGTTCGCCAGAGATTGCGAGTACGTCAGTTGCGTCAGAAAGCAGCATATGATCAGGGAACGAAACAGTTATCCAGTTTACAGCCAAACGAGTCGGTGAGGATTCGACAGGGAGGCGTATGGAATCCAGCCGTGGTCGTTGAACAACATAAATCACCTCGTTCGTACATTGTGGCAACTTCAAATGGAACTCAGTTACGCAGAAATCGCCAGCATCTAATGCCAACTAACGAACCACCAATGAATATTACACCACCAATGGAACCTGTCGGCGAAGAAGAACGTTGTTCAGGTATAGCTCCGAGTACCGTACGTTCATCAGTCCGTTCTCCAGTTATATTCCCGAGTACAGAAATAGAGGAAGAACACGTACGAACACCATTGGGAAGAAGTACAAGAATTCGAAGGGCACCTTCCCGATTGATTGAGAACATCTAGTTAAGTATAAAGGAATGTATATATATATAGTATAAGATGAATTTAGTATAATTAGGATATTTTAGAAACTTTAGTTCGGACTTGAACACCAGGGGCCGGTTGTATAAAAACGTAATTAGCGCTAACTGTAGTTAGCGTTAATCACTGTAGTTAAATCCTTAACTGTAATTAGTTAACTACATGACTTAACTGCGTTGCACAAAACGTAGTTAGTCGGATAGTTAACTAATCAAGTAGTTAACTGTGCGTGGGGCTTGCGTGGGGCGTTTAAACACAAAATTGCATAAAGTAAGCAGCGAGTAACGACTGCTGACACACATTTTCAACATGGTTGTGGACTCGCATTTTGCAAATAGGCGGGAATTTTATTCAAAACACTAGAAAACAGTGAAAAATAAACAAGAAAACAAGGAAAACCGCCACAAAAATCATAAAAGAATGCAGTTTTTCCTTGAGATGTCTACGTTGAACCAAGGTCTAGCTGTTTGGCAATTATATATCAGTGTTTCTTGGTGTAATGGACCATACTTCGTCTTCGAGAAATCGTCCTGTGCAAAAATATGTTCTGTTTTCGTAAAAACACCAAAGCGATAGCGTTTGAAGAGTTTATATTGTCAGGAAACATTCACAGGGAAGATAGCGATTGAAAATCTCGGGTAAGCGTTGCTTTTCATTATTGTTTTACTGAAAAATGTTGTTCACTCCTATACAAACGCTATTTTTAACTACGTTTTGGACAGTTAACTATACCCTAAAGCATAGTTAACTTTAATTACATTTTAACTGCAGTTAAGGCTAACTACACTTTTATACAACCGGCTTAACTACGTTAACTATTTTTTAAGGCTTTTTAACTACTTTTTAACTGCAGTTAGCGCTAACTACGTTTTTATACAACCGGCCCCAGTTGAATTGTTTAATAGTTAGGAACTATGCATGAAAATGAAAAAAAAAAAAAAAAAGAAAGAACGGGAGATGTCACATATAGCATGACAGTTTATGTAAATTAGCATTTAGTATGATATAAAAGACTTGTTGTTGACAAGACTGTAGGATATATATATATACGGATATTAAACGTATTTTACAAATAGTGCTTAAGTTAAACAAATTGAAGTACACAATATAATGTGTGGGGGCCAATACTGAAATGTGCTTGCCAATGTTGGGGCCAATACTGAAACCGGGCTTCGGTGCCGCAGTCGTCAGAAATTTCGCCTTTCGTCTGAGATCGTGGGTTTGATTTAGGGACTGGTCATAAAGTAACTGCTAGGGTGGGCTGGAGGTAAATCACAAATTTTGCCAATAAGTTTGGTGACCCATTTTAGGATGTAGATAAAAATTTCAAAGCCCATCTAATCTTACCAAATTTATTTCATGACCCGCCCACCCAATCTAAATTGGGAAAATACAATTTTATAATAAGAAAAAACTTGCAGGTATGAACATTGTAAATATACACCGGCATTGTATTGACATACATAATCCCACCAAGCTTGACCAACACATTCATCACCAATTACGATACTGAGCTGCTCTCCAGTTGGTTGTATTTGCTATGATTCGACCATTTCTTGTTGTTGCATAAAACAAAGTACTGGCTTCAATAGCACCATTTGCATTTGATAATTTGGATAGTGTTTTGTTTACTTTTATTATTAATATCTTTATATGGCCCAACCGTGGACATACAAAAAAAATAGGTACGCTAGGCGTACATGTATCTGCGAAAAACTGGAAATTCACATTTTTGTATTTTCTTGAAAGGAACTGAATAATGAAGATGACATGGGGCAATTGAAATATTTCATCACTTATTATAATTATAATAGCAAATAAGATTTTAAAGTCAACAAGCAGGGGCAACTGCTCCCACCCCGCCGAGGAAATGTAACTAATTTTGTAATGTGATAATTATGATTGTAACAGATAATTTAATATGCAGTCAGAAAATAATAATTTCATGCACACAATATTACACTAGCATAAAATAAAATATTTTTAAATTTATATCACGAGTATATATTATATAGCATATATTATAGACTGTACAGTTTCTGAAGGTTTTCAATTGAAAATAGATACTATAAATTCCACTTGCAGTGGTGTTTCCATAACTGTAATAAAGGTTTGCTTAGGTCAACTAAGTTGTGATGTCACAGAGATAGCTTGACAATCTTCTTTATTATCCATATAATGTCAATATACAACACATTTTAGATGCCATATAGTCAGGATAGCAGATGTTGTCACTTGTCAATCCATACACATAGAATTTCCAAAACTTTATTGTAATGATATGAAGCAAAAGTTCTGTCACTTGTTAATTACACTTGCCAATGTTAACTGTTGACTAACATACACAAACTATTTGAGGAACATAGAAGACCACTGATCAGTAGAGAATGTTTTGAAGGTCACGAGTGAAGTGTATAATTCCATTCCAGTCCTGTGCACAGTTAATGATATAGCACACTGTTCAGTATAATTTTAACACAGCATATCCACACAAAAGCAATTTGTGTTTTGGGAGAAAATCTGTTTGAGTACAAGTTTGGTTTTGTACATTGTATGCCATTGATCAGATCCATCCATATGATTATTGTAGTTAAGTTATTTTCATATAGCCATATATACTAATGAATTTTGGTGAGATTGTCTTGCAAGTGGGTTGTTCTGATGGAATTATCCAACAAATATATCCAGTACATTTATTGGTCATTGTTGTATTAATCTCTATAAACAAAAACATTTATGTTAGAAAGCAAAATGGTGAGTGGAGGGTGGATGGGAGGGAGGGGGGTGTAAAAAAAAACTTGCTTACCTGGTGATTCTGTTATTAGCATTTGAAAATTAGTAAATTTTGTTTAACTCTAATGTGTATAAAACCAAAATGTGTAAGTATTTAAGTGAATTGTGTCCAGTGACTCTTGTCCCAATATAGAAATATTTCTATCATAACATTGCTAAGTTTGCTTTAATGAAAACAATTAATTAAGGCACAAACTGCTTTATGATCTGAGAAATAAGTTTCTAAAATGTGTGAACTAACTTGCGACTCTGGTAGATTTGTATAAATATGATCTATTAAAGTCCGATTGTCTGTAGTGACATTAGACACCAATTGCATATAGTTATGATCATTGATAAAAAATCTATCTAAAGGCCTTCTATTGGCTTCATCCAACCAATTGATATTAAAATCACCTATGAAAATGTTAAATTGAGAAGTACAAAACCTCAAAACCTCATCTAATGCTGCACACAATTGTTGCACTG